ACTGAGTCGAAACGTAAAATCCCCTCGATTATAATTCATACTATTGAGGAATACAGCGAATTCGCAGAATTATTTGCAAGTGCAAGTTTATTGATAAATGTGAGTAACGAAGATGTACTTTTATTCGAAAAAATGTAAAAAACGAAGTAAAAAAACGTAAGAAATCGTAAAAAGTGGCGTCAGCGATGGCAAGTGAAGGCTTACTCCGTACTACGGTCAATGTATATATAGGGCTGAGCGATCGACGCGATCGATGGAAGGGCTCACGCGCATAAACCGAGCAATGGATAATACGCACATACACACACACATATTTGGTTTTTTTTTTCTCGAGAGAATCGAGACGGGCCTCGAGGGCCAATCCTCGAATAAATGGCAGTTACGTGGCTGACAGTCATTTTCGCGTCACTCGTGGCCGTAACGTGTACGAACGCGTTCGCTCGAGCGCTTGTCTCGAGCCGAATAAGTCAGGCTCGATATATAAAGTGTTCACTCGTGTGCGTGTGTACATGTCGTTGTTATCGTGCGCTCGGCATCAAAACAATGCAGAGCGGCCTCGATGCGGTTCGAAAGCGCGAGAAAGAGAAAGAAGCCAAGATAATGGCGAGGATGTCAAGTTCAAGCAGCAGACGACGACGACGACGAGTAAGAGCGCGGGGTGGTCCGGATTGAATTTGGGAAACGCTGAAGATGAAGTTTGCCTCGGGGCTTGCATCGGTTAAAGTCGGCGAACCTGCTGCAAGAGACGAGCAGCGCTCCCGAAGCGAATTTCGCCGAGTAAAAGAGTAAATATGCGCGACTAGGCATACTAGATAGGTGCAGCTAGTGCGATATCTGTTTATATCGACTTTTTCCTCTTTTTGACTAGATGCAACGGTTCAAAGAGCGCAACGTCTTGGCAGTTTGGAAAATTCCTCGAAAGCTTATGCACGCATTTGCCTCATGGAAATTCGTTCAATATCTTGGATTCTCGTGAAATCTAGTTAGAAGCCAAATGACATTTGACTAAAAAGTCAAATTTCGCTGACTTTTAAAAAATAGTTTAAAATTTTCGTTTGATCATATCTCATCATTTATAATTACAAGATTTTGTGAGTCTTCTTATAAACTTCAAAATATTTCGGGTTTCCGCCTAGAAATTTGAGTAATTAATTTTTATAATTTCTGAAAAAAACCACAGGAAAATATTTCATACATTTTCAATATTAGTCACTTAAAAAGCGCGGAGAAGCAAGCTATACATCAACGTATTAGCTCGAGCAATATTTCAATTCTGCAATGCGCGCGGAGGAATCGTAAAATTCCGCAGTAAAGCGCGACTGGCCCTATTTTCTTCCGCAGCGAGAAAAGCACTTTGCAACTTCTCGAGAGCCTAGGCAAACTATCCATTAGCGCGTGTATCCCGTTTTCGCGATATTACCAGCTTTTCTCAAACGAGCGCAACTATAAACATGTATAGCTGACCGCACATTGTAATACGCGCATAGGCTACGCACTGCCCAGCGAACAGTAAACTTTGAGCTTATTATCGATTACTCGGTGCGATCTCTGCGGTGTGTACGCGGCATTGCTCGTAGCTCCCACATTACACACCGTGAATTTTCACACGAATCTACTCTCGAGTGCTCGTCATTAACGTGAGCAGGGCTAAAGAATCTTCGTGGACGAGTGATCTCGAGTAGACCAGGACCCACTCACTGGCAAAACGAAATCCGCGCACCGATAAATCGTCGCGAATCGCGATAACACTGGAGGATATGTAGTGGAGCGCACTCTTGAGGGTTTTACGCACGCGAACAGCTTTTATCGTAAAAGTTCTGCACACTCTAGACTCTCTGAAGTACGTCATCTTTGTTTAAATTTATTAACGACGAGTTTGAACAAATTAAGTCGACGCAAAGGGGGTTGGAGCAATTTTTATTATAAGCCTCGGCAGAGAAGAGCCGAGCCCATTAATATTGATAGTCCGCTCCGATAAAGCAAAAGTTGCTCCTCGGTAATTTCAAGCCGTTTAAATAGTACATAGCCGTTTATATATGTGGCGGGCAGAGGCAGCGCAGCAGAGGCAATATAGTAGCAATAGTAATACTTGAGAGAATAAAAATACGTCCTCGCATGCGCAGCGTAATATCCATTAAAGAAGCTAAACCAAAGAGCTGCTGCTGCTGCTGCTTGCTCGTTGCGCACACATATACATATTTCAGCGACTGAATGTATGGGCGCGCGAAAGATAGAAGCGGCTCTCGAGTTATATACAAGGGAGGAGTTTAAAATCGCGCATAGCTTATAATGATTCCTCGTCGGACGCGTATACTACCTCTTGCGGAGAGAGAGAGAGCTCGAGATTTGCCCAACTGATAAACGAGCTCGGCCTAGCGAGGAGTGCGCAACGCAACTGTTACCCCCTATTATAAATACGCAGCCGACGAGCACGACCTATACCGGCTCAGCGCAGCGCCGCTGATGAATTTTCCAGTGCATGAAAAATGATGGCTTATGAAGCGGCAGCAACAGTTTTGCGTTAAAATGAAAATAAAAAAAAATAAAAAAAAATAATATGGTGCATCTTGCAGCGAGCAGGCGAAGCGAGCACGAGAGAGAGTGAGAGAGAGGTATATAGAAGGGCGTTTCAGAACGCAGCTGCCAACAGCTGCCTGCTGTGCGTTTTATCGCGCTTGCAGCAGCAGCAACAGCGGCAGCTCACATTCGCGAACTGATGAATTTTACAGCGAGTGGCGATGCCACGCGGTAGATTGAAATTCGTCCCGTGTACGTCTGCAGCTCGCGAATAATCTTTCACGAGTACGTACTCATAGATATACATGTGCGGCATGCCTCTGCCATCATTCGCATTTACTACTGCGGATGGAATATTATAGTTTAATGGAGAGATACACGCAGTGCATAAATATGCTAATAATTTTATTTAAATTCTGTTATTTGTTCGCGTCGAGCTATGTAAAATGAATGAGTGTCAATGAAAATTGACCGATTTTCACAGTTGATATTCTTCAAAGAAAGAAACTCGACGTTGATTGAAATAAGAATTGAAAAAAAAGAAGCACATGTCCGACGCATAACCGATGAAGAATAGAGGAACGATTGAATCCATCGATACCCAGCGCTTGTGAGCTTAAGGCTCTCATTTATAGCACCTATTGCATACGAAGTATCGCTTACCCATAAAAAAAAATCCAATTCGCTCGTCTCATCGTTGGCTGCACGCATCTATACACACACGCACATTATTGTATACGTATATCGGCATACCTTACACGATCTCACGCTTGTTCGGCACGTCATTAGAATACAGGCATGTTACAATATTATATCTTCCGGATCAAACTCCATACGCGCGGGGACCTGTGCGCCTGCGAAAAAAATAAGCACGAAAAATGTCCGAATGCGATCTCGAGCGGATCGTGTGCGCTTCGCTTGTCGCGCGATTTACTGCTAAACGTCAAAAGTCTTCCGTGCGCCCGACCGAAAAATCAACGTTGCGACTTCTATGGCGAGAATTTGTTTTTATTTCCATCGTAAGCCGGTCTTAAAGCGAGATCTGAATAATCCGGAGTTTAACTTAAAATTTTGATGACTTTTTATTATTTAAAAAATTTCAACGACTTCCTTGCTAAAAAAAATGATACGTTTTGAATTTACAATATATCATTAATCTATTTTAAAGGCGCAATTCTCGAGTTATAATTAAGATCTCGCCTTAGAAATAGTCCAGTAACTGTAGTAATAAGCTGTAAAACATCGCGTGCATCTGTCACAACAAGTACCCCACGTAACTTCATAACGGTAGCAATTTGTATAATAACACAGTATATTCGTACGAGCTCGCATTACCATAATCCAGCCGTAAATTCGATTGCGCCGCGTACGGAACGGCGCAATGTCATCGAACCATTTGACACCTGCGTTAATGTAAGTATTGGCCGAGCGCACACCCATACAGATACACATTGTCCAAGTATTACGTTTGGAATTGCAGCATCGATTCCTTTACAACTGCGTATAATGTGGAAAGCGTCGTCGGAGCGATTTTACGACGTCGTAGCGGTGCGGGGCAGCGAACGGGCAGGTACGAGATCGCGACAAAAAAAGGTGCATCAGAAAACAAGCCGAGGCCGCGATTGCTCCCGATGCCCGGTGCGGGTCGAGCGAACCGATATAAAAGATATTAAAGAGCTCGCGGAGAGAAAGACCACCCCATGTGTGAGAGAGAGAGAGAGAGCATCCATATAATGCGTATTTCTTTATCTTTCTTTTCCAAGCACGCTCGCATTTGTATTTTGTCATTACCATTATGAATATGGCTTTTTGCGAGCTCGTGTACGCTTGACGTTTCAAAAAAAAAGTGACAATTAGACATTGGACTCGTTTCATTAGGCGAATCGACTGCGCAGTGCCACGTCGTACGAATCAGAAGATTATACGGGAAGCACTTTTTATGCGCATAAATAAATCAATGAGCCTCTCAGTAATAGCTTGGCGTGCATATAAACGTCATATATCTAGCCGAACGCAACTGTCACAAACGAGCCTATACAGTCGCGATTATTAATTAAACGTTGCAGCTCAATGTTAGCTGCAGCAGACGCATCCATTCGTTTATCACTTTTTCTCTTGATTACACACTTATCCTCGTCGAGCGATGGCGTACTTTCATTAACGGGTGATGCGAATTAGAAACTTCAATGGTCACTAAATGTTTCAGCTTTTCAATTTCAACACTTTTTAATACAAAGAAGCAAAATGCAAGAAAAGTAAAATTGCGAACGAGATATTCTCTCGTAGAGCGAGCGCGCAATATTTGTTTGAATTTGCTCGTGAGACTCGTAAAAATTTTCTGAATCGCTCTAATTCACCGTCTTCCGAGTAATAGCATCTTCACAATGAATTGATTGATATTCACACACTTTAACGACAGTTCTTTATTATATTAAATGCAATAAAAATCATCTTAGAAAAATAATATTAATAATATAACTTACCGGTCTTTTCGTGGAATCTCCACCCTTTACTATCTCTAATGGATTTGGTATCGACGGCCTGCCAAGATACCAGTCCTCTCGAGGATTGTAGTTGTCCAATAACTTTAGCAAACGAGGCACGTTAACGTAATTGTCATCGTCAAAGTGACAAAACCATCTGCACAAAAAAAACAATGGAAAATTAATAAAATTTTTCTGAATTGGAACGAAACATTGCATTTAGTTATATTTGAGTTTAATTTAAAAATAAACGAAGCATGCAAATTTTGCAAAAGAGAGAAAATAATTATTCAATACTTTCTGAATATCATCGCTACGAAAGGGGTACATGAATATAAAACATAAAAGTGCTCGAATTCAATGGAACAATGAAATTTGCTCATTGCGCATAAAAAGGGAAAAATTGCACCACTCGGCATATTTACCCACGAGTGTTATTACTGCAGAAGAGCGAATATTTGTCGGGAGCCGGCTACATATACATCGGGTCACGCTAGAAGCGAAAACCCTTAAAACTGCGCGTCAGCGAGCGAGAGGACAGTACTGCGGGGGTTGAAGCCCCATAAAATTCGTCCCGATCGCTAAAGCCCACGCGATATTGTTACTGTATATAGATATATGGCGACGAAGCGCCTCGCCGAGAGTCGTGGGAAAGCCGGCAAACGTGCCACGGTGTGCGACGCGACGCGGCACACGCTCGCGCGCGAATAATAAGGTACGTCGACTGTTTTTACCCGACCGAAATGACGACTGCGTCAGAGCTGCACGGCGGGCCACGCGCGCCCCCCTTGACTCCCTCGCCATGCAGCAGTGTGCCAGTCAGGCCGCCGTTCCATTGTGTGAGCGCGCGCGGAGAACTGCACACGCTCCCGAGTGTGACCCATCGCGAGTGATCTGACGCGCGTGCCTGCGTCCCCGCAAACCATCGAATTAATAATTAACCAACTGTGTAAGCGATCGAGATAATGTATAAATTATGCGTCATGCGGACTTGTACAAGGTTAGCGTCGATTCAGGCTGCTATACGCATGTCTGATAAAAAATATAAATAATTTTGTTTAAATATTTGCAGCGTTTACCAAATTATCGTTTTACGTTGTTTCTTCGATGAATATTTTGAACGTATTTTACGGTAATGGCCAGTCATTGACATTTACGTATCGCTGGACGCTTTTTTAACGAAGCCACGTGCTAAAAAACTGCTACTCATTTCGGCTAAATGCACATTAGTGAACGTACATGTTAGCAGTACACGGTGTTCACGTAAGTGCGCACTCACATACGAATCAGAGTCATTGGCTCGTATAGGTAATCCTCTTTCGACCGAGACTCTTAATTAAAGTGATCTCGTTTTATTTCAAACTATGCGAGGCAAAAAATAAATAAATAAACGACGTCGATGGGAGATTCGTTCAAGACTTTTTGTATTTTGCATTCTCGGTATAACGCAGCGTCTCTCAAAGCTGGGGCTTTCTTTTTTTATCGGACTTTATTACTGTTCTTAACTTAAAATCATAGACTCGGTTGGTCGTTTCTACGCGTGGATCATTATATAGCGAGAGTAGCTGGTCGACCACAGGTATTCTCAGCTCGCTTCTCGTTGCTCGTTTGCTGAATTATTTAATCTTTCACGACACTCGATTGAATTTGGAGCGATCGCAGAGAGGGTCGCTCGGTCGAGCGCGGCGTCGAGAATCGACAAGTACGAGTCCTGCGAAAATCGTCCGCTATACGGCAAAATAAATTTCAGCGCGCAACTCGAGAGCGAACGTCTCTTGACGTTATTACCGTTTAAAAGTTGGCTGCGATGTTAAATGCAGGGAATTACGTGAAAAAAAAAAATGACTGCAGCAACGCCGGTGCGGATTCTCGATTACGCGAGTCCGTGCGGCTGCTGCCGCGTATAATATAACTCGAGCGCGAGCCGGCGTAAGTCGGATAAAAAAATATGTTAACTTGTAGCTGTGTAATGCATGGATTTGCGGAGTCGCTGCGCGCACTGCACACACACTGCACGCAAGGCAGATCGGGCGTTAGGGCTTGGCTGCACGCACCAGGAGCAACACGACCGGATGCTGCTAGTCGTTCTCTCTCTCTCGCTGTGGCTCTCTGTGGCTTGGGTGACTGAAATTATACACACGCCGAGCGAAGAAATCGCTTCGCAAGAACTTGGGTACACATAACGCACGGCGCAGATCGCCTTTCCTATGCGAGCGTATGTAAGAGCCCAGCGCACGGCCTACCCCCTCGCCAGCGACCAACTGCTCAATCATGTGATACTCGCTGCTATACTCCTTGACTCCTTTTTACGCGCTTCTTTTCTTTTATAATATGTTTTAAGGGCTCATTCGCGCTCTCGCAGTACTTTGATTCTTTCTCGGAGCCACTTGCTGCCCCTTCCTCTTCTTTCGCTCCTCTTTTAATACGCTATATTCTATAATAACGCTTTAATATCGATGCTTCTAGTTTGTATTCCACGAACCTTTACTTATACACGTTTCATTAGGTATCGAAAATTTCATCGCAAATAGCGGGTATTAATGGTATACGCGATATCGTAGTTTTGTCATCGAAGGGCGCCGAAAGAATGGCGAAACTCAGAGAAAGGATTATAAGACCTATGCATGGTCCTATTTATAGTATACAACTCTTGCAAGCGAATATTTTATGAATTCAATCAAGTCTCCGAAATTTCTTGCGTTCGCATGAACTTTTATTAAAAAATTGTATCCGTGTTGAATTTCTTTTGCCTAAGTGCACGAAAAATGCATGAAAATTAAATCATAATTAATTCCAGCAACGAACACTAGATGGCCAGTACCTCTATATCTGTAAATCTGCAAGTGGCAAAGTCAAAATAAATGTATAAGTAAAAATACGGTTTTGCTATAATAACAGTATTGGTCGTATTGCTTATCTAGTCAAAAAACGGTCATTTTATCAATCAATATTATCAATTATACACTTCATTTACACGTAAAATAATTTAAACCATTATAATTGATAAAACTAGCATAAAATAGAAGCGAAGTTGTATATCAGCGGACAGTTCGTTAGACGAATCACGTGGCAAGCTATGAAAAATTGCGATCGATCGATCGCAGCCTCTCGAATTCGAATAATAAGGTCGTCGAGATATTATTATAAAATTCTCTGGCGGTGCGCGCTATTCCATGGAGTGCAGTGCAGCATTACATAAACAGAAGATCCAAGCGATTGGCATGTGGACTCTCGCATGCTCGCACACACACACACACACACACACAAACTGCGATCGGAAAGTACAAAATAGCTACGTAAACGCATGTATCGGCAGTAATACTTATTGAGTATATCGGCGTGTGTGCGCGCGCGCGCGAGAGTCGCCAAGTCGCCTAAAGCCAAGGAGGCGTAGTCGCAACCGCGTATACGGGTGATCGTCGTACCTACGTATTTATGCGCGCACTGCATACTATGCTCCGCATGCTTCTCTCTCCGTCTCTCTTTCTCTCTCGGTTCTATCTGCTTGATGCATCGAGTACGACGTCGACGACGCCAAATCCCAGGGCGAATCAGCAATTACCCACCGAGCGAAGCCCCGTGTCTTTCTCTCTCTCACTCTGTCTCTTTCCTCTTTGCGACCGATATGTGGCCGTCCGTTTGTTCATCGATTTATCCAATATACGAACTCGAGTGCGATAGAGAGCGAGACAGCCTGATGGGCACAAAACACATGTACAGGCCGAGTCCGTATCTATCATTCCAAGTACGTTAATTATTTAAAGTTGGTACACTGCGTTTGCCACATCGTATACCGTTTCGAATTAATCCGCGGCTGCATTCTGCAAATCTCCAGCTCTCGAAGCTGCATCGCTGCGCTTTATTCGATATTTTTTCGGTCGATTCAATTCCCCGCAATTATTTTTGCAACGGGGTAACAGCAATATTCACGCCGAGCGGGCAAGATTTTCCGCCCTGCTGAATGCTGAGAATTTTTCCAACTTCGGTCGACATTCTTGGCTAATGCGGGTACTTGCCTCGAACATCGTGGCCGATAGGCCAATTCAAACCATTGTTTATGGCCGAAACAAAACGCACCGAGGCTCTCCGGCACTGTATATATTCTCATATTTTTCCAGATGAGCGAGCACGGGATATCTCGCCAAATTATATGCACTCGCATAATATTATCACGAGAAAGGGCCTCGCTGCGAGCGTGTCTGAATTAACTATTGCTTCGATCTTTTGGTCTTGTCAGTTGATTTTATAACGAATGCAGCGAGAGAACCTTCGTTCTGCTTCTTTGAAACGTCCTGAATGGCTCAGCAGTGTAGGTCAACGTTAAATCTCCTCGTTAACTCGGATATGCGCGCGCCAACTGTCCCGAGCGCTCGACTCCATTAAATTGCGTTTCGATCGCAATGCCTGGCCTGCTCGACTGCGTTCTCCGCTCGGAACACCTATGCAGGCGTGAAACTCGTAAACTCCGGAGCAATATTCTTATCTGCATCTCTGATTCGCTGTTGCTGAAAAAGCTGCAAGATAAATTGTTCCATTGGTGTGATCCGTCTTGCGGAGTCGTGCAAGAAAGCTAACTGTACAGAATCCGTACGAGAGGCGAGATTTTATTGGATAGCGCGCGCGAAATTAATTTCCCCGGCCGAAATTAAGATGACTTTTTTGACGATCGATACGTTATACATTAATTATAGCAAGAGAAAAATCAAGTTATCCGACTGCAGTATGGTTAGAGTATAATATTATACGATGAGCTGTGCACAGTCGGAATTATAATCGTGCAGTCAAGACGATCGCGGCAAATGCGATTAGCTCGATTATTGAATAATTCGTTCATTTCGACGTCCTCGGCAATTATCCGGCATATTTCCAGCGCAACGCAGCGAGTGCACTGCGCGATCGGTACGCTCGAGGCGCGATTGCGCTTTTCTTTGCCTCTTCGCGTTTCCCGGTACAGTCGCGAGCGCACTCGATTTTTGAACGAGCTGGCTACACGCGTGCCCCGTAGCGTTATGATTAGTCTTAGACGCAACCATCATTTAGCCAGAAAAATATTATAAGTGACCAAAAAGAACGCACGTAATACGTGTAATATTTTCTCGCAGACTCGCATATGGTACACCGGGGAAAAAATGGCCGGATGAAATTACTACTACAATA